ACAAAAATATGCGTTTACATGTGATTGCATGTGGCCTTCCGCGGCAACTCATGCTTATCACCGTAAATCAGAAAGCTTGACACACCGATGGAAATATTCTGCTATTTTTTACAAAAGAACTAGTTCTATTGATTGTGGAAGAAACAAATCGAGCAGCTTATTATGAAAACGGCAACAGCCAGTTTAAGATCGACGCTGAAGGAATTTTTAAGTACATTGGCGTACTCATTAATATGTCCGTTTACCGTTATCCGAATTTGGAGAGCTATTGGGGAAAAAGTGCTTTCACTCCAATTGAAGAATCAATGACTGTAAAAAAGTTTTTGGCGATAAAAAGATATTTGTCTTTTTTTAAGTACTGCAAATGTAGTTGTACGACTACCACAAACAATACCTGATTTTGCTCATCACATTCTCTGCTTTGACAAATTCTATACCTTTGTTGGTATATTTACGCGCAAGGAGCATCTACAGCTTGGACACGATACGAGCGAATCGAATACCAAAATGCAAGCTTCCCTTGGACAAGGATGTAAAGAACGAAGAAAGAGGATACTCAATTGAGTACGTTGGGGCTGCATATGGTGTCGATATTAACACGGTTTTGTGGAAAAACAACAAGACAGTGCGATTGGCATCAATTTACGTTGGTATTCAGCTATTTAAAAGAGAAAATGAAAACGAGCAATCGGCCAAAGTTGCACGCTACGATAGAAAACAAAAGCAGCATATAGAAGTAGATTGCCTCCAAATTATATGGGATTACGGATATAATAGCCATATGGGGGGAGTAGACTTAATGGATGGACTTATGGGTCGTTATCATATCCACGCAAACGCTCGAAATCCGATAACACGCCTTTTTTACCATTTCGTAGATATGGCTGCGACAAATTCATATATTTTGTATCGACGTCTGCATTTAGAAAGTTGCAACAACAATGTATCTGCACAAGATGACAAGCTGTTAAAGTTACCAGAGTTCCGTGAAGAAATTGATGCTGGTCTTGTCGCTTACAAACTCAATCGTCCTGCTGGTCGGCCAAGTTTCACACTATCAACATCCGCAGGAAATAAATTTAATGTAGGGAAAAGAGCAGAACATCCAGTCGCGGATGTTCGCTTTTGTCAGTATGATCACTTTCCCATTTGGCTTCCGAAAGATGGTGGAAAAAGAAAATGTAAATTGTGCCTAAGTTCAGAAACGAAGTATTTTTGTTTCAAATGTCAACTAAATTTAAGCTGCTCGACTACGAAAAACTGTGTTTTTGATTACCATCATAAAAACTAATCAACTTTGTTATTCGAATTCCCCTAGTTATTGAAATTATTCATTTGTTTTTCTTATTTTCTTTTCTTTTGAAATAAAATGAAGTTTTAATTGAAACCACACCTATTTCTTTATTTTGATCTAAGCCGGCAAGGCTGCCCTGAGGCGGGCTACAAATTATTCTCACCTGCGAGCACAAAAAATGAAAACAAATCATATGATGATATTTTTGAGGTTTATGGAGCCTATTTACCTTATAAAAAAATTCAGAATCTTTTCTGTCAACGATTTTAGTTTTGCCTGTTAGAGGGTTAACATGGGCAGAACGCAAGAAGAAAAAGTAGCCAGCATAAAGGAATGGCAAACTAGCTGTCAAGAGGAGATGGAAGCACCGATTAATTAACACTAGATTGGCTAAGCAAGTCATTTTGATTGATTTCGAATTTCATTTAAAAAAATAGTGACTTCTTATAATTTTTGTGACTTTTTCCACAACATATAAATGGATTAATTAATCATTGTTGTTGCACTCTTCCTCATTTCCAATATACATATATAAGTGTGTTATACCTATACATATTGCCGAAAAGCAGTAATTTTGACTGCTCTGTTCCCTTTTCGTACTCCAAGTCGTTATAACACGATGTTCATTTTTTTCGCGCCCTAAGTTCTTATAAAAAGGTCCAAGAGAAGAGAACTTTTAGAAAAGCTAAGAAAGATAGGGGAGGAGTGTTCCGATATAGAATCAAATGCAACGAGGTGGGAATTATCGTCTGAAGATGAATCGGATCAGGCTTAGTGCGCTAATTGTTTCAGGCGAAGAAACTGAAAATACCTCTCAGGAGACCGAAACAGCTTCAGATGATACTGCTTGGCCAAAATTTGACAAAATTTAGGGGTGCGCCAGGACCAACAGGCTACGCAAAACGGAACGTTATGGTAAATAATCTTGTCAGTGCATTCTCGTTGATAATAAAGGGTTATACTATCAAACGTATAAAAATGTGCACAGAAGAAGAAGCCCACCGAATTTAGGATTACGATTGGGCAACTACACTACCGGAAATACGTGCTTTCATTGGATTTTATATGCTCGTGGAGCCTATGAAGCAAACAATTTAATACTAAGTTCTTTATGGTTAATCAAATGGGGTCCCGAATTTTTCAGAAGAACTATGTCACGAAATAACTTTTGACAAACGGACTGAAAGATGTACACGCATCCCAACAAATAAATTTGGCTTGGTTTCGGAAATATGGGACAAGTTTATWGAAACCAGTCAAGCTTGCTATTAACCAGGGCAAAACATAACATTATACGATCAATTATTTCCAACAAACGATAGGCGCAAGTTTATACAATGTATGACTAATGAACCAAATAACTTTGATATTAAATTCTGGCTTGCATCAGACGTTACAAGCAAGTACGTGTGGAATGGTTTTGCTTACTTGAGGAAAGATGAACAACGACCATCGTCAATGCTTCTAAGCGAATACGTGATTCTGAAACTTGTCGATCCGTAAAAAGGATGCGGAAGAAATGTCGCGACCGACAATCTTTCACGAGCATGTCACTAGCGACGAAATCATTGGCCAAAAAAACTACATTAATTGGAACTACGTATTAGAGAAAATAAAAGAGAATTAAACAGTACAACAGCTAGTCTGGGGGGTGAGAAATTCCAAGTCAGGGTGATGGTACTAGGTCAGTATAGTAAACCCTCAAAGGGTTTGACGTTCGTATGTGTCAGTTTTTTTTATGACCTTTTAAATTTTTTCCTTATTTCCCATGGTTTTCCATCTTAACAAATTAAGTTTTTCCAATCATCCGTACTTWATGGTCCAGATATACGAAAGCTGATTAAAAGTGACGCATTCAACAATATTTTGAATGCGTCGCTCGACGCTGAATTGAATACATGGTAGGCAATCAAAGAAGTAATAGAAGGCTTGTTGGGAAAACATCGTTCTAACAACTACGATGTTTCTGTCGCACGGATGTTAAGAGCATTCTCGGAAATAGGTTTTTTTTGTGGTTTTTGCCAAAATGTTACAACTAAGCGAAAAAGCATCAAGATAAGGAAAAAATTTAAAAGGTCATAAAAAAAACTGACACATACAAACGCCAAACCCTTTGAGGGTTTTACTATACTGACCTAGTACCATCACCCTGACTTGGAATTTCTCACCCCCCAGACAATAATCGCAAAAATGTTCCACAGTGTTAAAGATCAGAAAATTGTGTCCTTACAATATTTGAAAGCAGATCTAAAGAGTAGCTGTTCTAAGTTGTAGGCATAAAAATTGATAAAAGTAATAGAAAAATGTTACCAGATTCTATTCAATTTTATAATAAAACAAAATTTGGTGTTGATAAGGCAGATTAAATGGCCAGAAAATATACGGTGAAATCTAGTTATCGTAGATGGCCCCTCCAAATATTTTTTAACATTTTAGATTTGTCTGCAATAAATGTTTGAATCCTTTATAAAGAAGTAACCAGAATACAAATAGAACGAAAGCAGTTCCTGTTTCAATTAGCAGAACAGCTAGCCGCCGATTACAGAACTGAAAGAGGGAAACATTCATCATAGCAGGAAGACCCACAAGTATCAACTACAACATCTTCAAATGAAAAATTTGACAAATAGGACTTTGCCACAATAACAAAATAAATAATATTTGTCAGAATAGTAAAACGTATGTTTGCGGTAGATGTACATTAGACTGGTCTTTGCTTGTAAGGGAAAGTTTTTTTTTGCAAAAAGAGTGTACCGCTCCCGCAAATTTTCCCTTTTTATGCCAAAAACGAAATTCCAAAATCTTAAACTGATTGCCTTAGGTTACAGTGGCTAAAACCGGTTTATATGGACTTTTCAATAGACAAGGCACGAAAATATAAGTAAAATGTTTAATCTATGTCTATTATATTATTATATTGAAATTAACTTACGTTTAATGATTAATATTCTTTATACCAAAGGTCTAATTTATTAATGCTGATTTATTAATGCTACCGTATTTTTTCCTATACTCCGTTACTGTTTGCATAAAAGTTTTAAAACATAATCGCCTAAAAAAATCGCATAAAGGCAACTCTGTAAGCATATATTTAAATGGTAAAATAAAATGTTGGCAACAACAGAAAAGTCAACATCTGGTCAATACCGTTAGTTTTGAGCCACGTGGCAATTAAAAGTGTGTAAAAAGTGAAGTGTATTTATTTTGAGCTTTGAACCATAGAAACATTATTGCTTTAAAGGGAATTGATATTGATTGTATTTGCAAAATGGACACAAGAGCTAGTGAAAAAATTTATTTATTAGAATATGACGAAAGCCAAATTGTTGAATCTAAGCTGCCTTCCAATGGGCAAGTTTTGAAAGTGTTGTTTTATAACATGCGTAAAGTGAAATTGGATCTTCGTTCAAATGCGTATCTGGGCCCGAATCGCGGCATTCGTGAACGAGTAAAATTGTTCGAAATTTCTAGTTTTCGGATTGCGGCACTCGTCATCGAGTACACTCGTTCGAAATTTGACATTCTGTCATTCGATAACGAGTTGTAATTCAAACGAACCTAACGAAATGTCATTCGATTGATAATTTGCAATCGTTAATTCAAAAGTTTTCAAACGTCGTGAGTCTACTCAGAAAAAATCAAATAAAATTTAAGTTAGCCTTTATGTTATTGACTATTTTATAAATAAACTAATTTTTTAGGATAAATGTTAATAAAATCAACATGAGACAAAAAAATTTAATGACCGAATACATGCTTCGGCATCAAGATTTGGCCAAAAATATGTTGCCGAATTGTGGTCAGGGCAAAGCTGCTGCCAATAAATTGTGGGACTCCTTGGCGGTCCTGCTTAATGCGGCCGGTCCACCAATGAAGGATGCTAAGTCTTGGCGGAAAGTACGTAGATCTCCATGCATTTCCTCTTTTGATAAGTGTCTTAACAAATTTATTAACACAAATGTTTTTTTCTATATACATATACACTTAGGTATTTGCTGATCAAAAGCACAACGTCAAAAAGAAGTTGTCTTTCAACAAAGCGTCGAAGCAACGAACTGGTGGTGGTCCTTACGAAGAAAAGTACCTAAAAACAGCAGAAGAGCAACTGCTTCAGGCTACCGGCAGGGACGTTGCGGTAGAAGGCCTGGGAGAAGTAAGGACTTTTGGCAACTCCACCCCTGAAAAAGAGCCTGTCGAAAAGCTTATGGCAGAGCTTTTATACAGTGATGAAGACAAAGTTCCACCGAAACCCTCTATTAGTCGCACCGCTACGAAGAGGAGCAAACAGGATGCTGCCGATGAAAAGCTGGCCCTCATTAAAGACAACATGATCGCGTTTGAAAGCTACCAGCAGAGTATAGGCGCAAAACTAGACAAGCTTATAGCTTTAAAGGAGAGGTCGATGGAAATAAAAGAGGAAGCGCACAAAGCTTATATGGAAGTCAAAGCAATAGAGCTGCAAATTAACCGAATACAATTAGAAGCCTTAAAGGAAAATAAATAAATATACATACAAATAATAATAAACATACATATATTTGTTTTATTCAAATTGTATTTTCTAGCGCCAACATTATATGGTTTCGAATTTTGTGTCCAATTTTGGTTAAATTAGTTTCGTTTCCCATATCGAATTCTGTGTTAATAGCTTCACTTGCAGAATGTCTACAATACGACGCATCTTTGAAATGTATGCWAATGTYATGCAACGCTGCACATACATTCCCGAATTGTGCCATTTTTTCAGGTTGGTAACGGCTTCTCTTGTCATTGCTGAGAATTTTCCAACGGCCCTTTAGGATACCAATGGTTCTTTCAACTACATAGCGAGCTTTAGAATGAGCCTCATTGAACCGAGCTTGAGTAGACCCTTCTTCAGGGTTCCTGAATGGTGTTAAACACCACGGCTCCAAGGGATAACCCGAATCTCCTATTGATTTACGAAAAATGTATTTTAAATTTAGGTACATATATGCATAACAGTATAATAAAAAGTTATAGTACCTAAAAGCCAAACATTTTGTAAGTTATTTTGGTTAAATTGCTCCTCCAAAAACTTTCGTTGTGCCGAATGCTTCCACACAAAGGAATCGTGTGYGGCTCCACCATACTTTGAGTCAATGGCCAAAATGCGGTATTCATGGTCACACATCTGTTATTAAATTAATGTTTATAAGTATACGTATGTGTATGCGCATACATTTTATATGCAACCTACTATCATTGAGTTGAGGCTATGGTATCCTTTCCTGTTGAAGAACATGTGCTCATTTACTGTTGGTTTTTGCAGCCCAAAGTGCGTGCCATACATCCAATAACTGCATGCACAAACATATATTTAAATATGTTAAGTATGCTTCAGCTTTAGAAGCTCTACATTCTACTCAAAATAAAAGTGCTAATCTTACCTCCAGCAATTTTGTATTTTTCAACAAACGATTTCGTGCATTCCGAAAGATTGTCGGGCACGAATTTAATAAATTGGGGGCACAAATTTGTTTCCATTTCGCTGATTACATTTTTTATTATTTTGCAAATAGTGCTTTGACATATTCCTATAAAAAAGTCATTTCCCACCAAGTGCTGCTAGCCACCACTGGCCAAAAGGGACAAATTCGCTCCCAGTTGAATCATTGGTGCCACTGCGGTTGACAAATGCCCTTCAAATTTGAGTTCAGCCAATACGTACACTTTTAGAGAGTCTGAACCGTTTCCTGAAGCTGTAAATATAAACATGTAGGCAATTGAAATTAATTTGTACACAATTCTAATTCCTTACGCTGCCTCCGGCAATGTCAAGGGATTGCTTTTGTCTCGCATTCGGTTCCTTATGGCTTGCTGCACGTTTTCTATTGAATGCATCACTTTTGAGAAAAACAATAGTATTTCACCTTTATAAAAAAATATAGCACGGCTTCAACAACTTTCTTGGTTTTGATTTCACAATTTGACACTTCGTAAATGCCATTTGTAGAGAGGCTGTTACAGTGAGCTAATTTAGATTCGCTTCGTATCGAGTGCGGCGATCCGGCTACTCGAAACGTCACGAAATTTGTTTCGATACAATAGCTCGCTCGATCACGAATGCCGAGATTCGGGCCCTGGTTATCAAAGAGGTCGAAATTCGAATAAAACCCGTATTCCAGTGCGCCAAATTGATAGAAGTGTTCAAAAAGTTGAAGCTTTATATAAAGAATGGAAAAATCTGCAAAAAAACTTACAAACACAGCACACCACTTCAAAAAATGCGATAAGCTCAGTTTATTAAAAATATGAATAACTTATTTGACATTGTGCACGGAAATGCGTAAGATTTAATTAAAATAGAAGAAAATAAAGAGTTTTTGAAGAATCAACGTAAAGAACCTGGTGTATTTGAATTGTATCTCGTATTGAGAAAGAGGTAATCCGAAAAGGAAAGCAGGGTGAAGAATAATTCCAAGTATTCTTAACAGCGAATGATTTGAGTGACAATACTGAAGAACTAATTGATGTATACGACAGTGATGATAATACTGATCAAACTGCTAACTGTAGCTTTCAACAAAAAAACAGAAAACGAAGAATGAAACATTTTATCACTTCAAAGCTTGTTGCGACCTTAGACAAGTGCAAAGTCAGTGATAGGGACGCAGTACGTATTCTGATAGCTGCGGCTGAAGCATTGGAACATGATATCAGTACATTGGTAATCAGCAAGACATCGATTCGGCTTTGCCATAAACAAATCAGTTCGGAAACTGCTGCAAAATAGATGACGGATTTTAAAAACAGCAATATAAATCAAATTASGGCACATTGGGATGGAAAAATTTTACCGACAATCACAGGAAATGCAAAAGTGGACAGATTACCAGTTGTGATAACAACAGATGGCATTGAACATCTACTTGGAGTACCTGCCGTGTCAGCTGGTACTGGCAAAGAACAGACAGACGCCATACTCGAACTATTAAAGGAATGGAGTCTAGCAGAAAAAGTATTTAAAAGTAATTGTTTATAATAGTAAATATTAACAACATTCTTTCCAAACAAGGTAGAAGCTTTATGTTTTGATACTACCGCGACAAATTCAGGTAGATTACAAGGTACTTGCATTTTATTAGAACAACACCTCAATAGAGAATTGTTATATCTCCCTTGCCATCATCACATATATGAGCTCTTGCTGAAAAGTGCTTTCGCGAAATATGATTTAAAATTAAGTGGTCTATCATAAGATATTTTCCAGCGTTTTAAAAAAAAATTGGCCCAAATTCAATCAGCAAAAATTTGCAAGTGGAATGGTGGATAAAAAAATAAATCTTGCGCTAAAYAAAGCTGAACAAGACCAATTAGCTCAATTTGCTCATAACTATATCACTAAACAACATCCCAGGGCAGACTACAAGGAGTTATTGGAATTGAGCCTTATATTTCTTGGTCGAAACACAGGGCCTGTAAGGTTTAAATCACCTGGAGCGATGGACAATAAAGATTTTTCTTTTCCGCCGCCAATTCTTAATGTCGTCAGATGAGGCAAATGGTATACAAGATATTAATGAGTTCATTTTGAAAATTTATTTGAGACCGTGGATTGAAGCGCCAATTGCCGCGAAAGCACAATTAAATGATTTAAATTTTATTAAAAGTATTATTAAATTCAATGAATTGAATGATGTAAGTGAAGTAACGCTCAAGTTTTCGAATCACTTGTGGTACCTGACACCAGAGGCAGCAGGTCTTTCATTTTTTGATAATGCTGTAGACCTTGGGGAAAAGAGAAAAATGGTTGAAAATCTCAAAAAAGAACAAAATAATGAGAATAAAAGAATAGTAACAAATATGAATGAATTAAACCAAAACAATATTTCAGATTTTGTTAACAAAAAAAAACAGTGAGCTTTTTCGAAAGATTTAATATTCAAACTAACTGTCTACTATAACTAACTTTATAAAGAATATTAATCATTAAACATAAGTTAATTTCAATATAATAATACATTAAAGACATATATGAAACATTTTACTTATTTTTTTGTGCCTTGCCTCTGGAAAAGTTCATGTCCGGTTTTAGCCACTTCAGTGGGCATGTGCCACGCCTTAACCTAGGGCAATCAGTCTAAGATTTTGGAATTTCGCTATTGGCATAAAAAGGAAAATTTTAAAAAATTAAGTCCGGTCTAATGTACATCCGAAAAGATTAGCAATTTCATTTGCTTAAAATGTCCAAATAATGTATACTTTTTTCTTTGGCACTGAAATACATTTTGTTATTATTAATACTTTTAAATAACTTCTTATACGACTGTAAGTGATATTAATTACAATAAAATTAATGTTAAACAAATTTCTTTGCGCATTAGTTACTTTTCACAATGCAGTCATTTTGACTGCTTTCAGGCTATATAGGTTTATACTAAGCTCCCGTCGTTCTACTGTTAATAATGTGCAATCATGGGTGGATAGAAGGTACGGCGAGACTGACTTCTACATGTCGTAGTTCCCAAGGAAGCATGAATGTTTTCGAGAGTATTTTCATAAATACGGCCATGATGATGAAGTCGCTTGCTCATTCTGTGGTAGCGGTAACAAAAGTGCAAATCACTAATAATAATAATACCGAACGTATTTCAATTTTAGCGACAACGCACAAAGACCCCAGATGGCCAAAATGAGTTGTCAAGTATTGATTGAAAGTTTCCAGCGGATATGTCGATCTTAAAAGATGAAATATCCCTGTCATATTTGAAATTAAATATTCGGATGTCTGTATCTTYCGTTTTTAGTTTCGACGACATATAACTCTTTATGTCATCGGTCGTGGTATCCGCAGCAATTATCGAGATAAATATTGCTTTCTTCCGCTGTATCACAATTAAATTTTTATTACCTGTTTTATTGTTATTTGAAGGCGGAACCTGAGAAGGTTTTTGCTTACCATGCTCAGTAACAGCTCTCTCTGTATTCTTAGCACACGAGAACTTCTCTCCTTGAAGACAAGGGGAAGAAAGATTGATGAAGTCAATATTGGGTGGGGGCATTCTTTTTAAGGAAGATGCAGTGGTCTCTTCATCAGACGGACGTTTGCGTTTATTGGAAGTTTTGGATTATCTTCCTGATAATTTAGGCATTTAAATGATTGAAACAATGTTTTTAAATTTTTCAGTAAAGGTGTCAAGCTCACGGCCAATCTCCTTTAAATTATTGCGCGCCTGCTTTTATAAGTTTATACTTTAAATAAATCAATATCAGTTGGTCTGCATTTAATGCAGGACCAGCGCAAGCCCTTACAATCAAGAATAGAATCCAATGTTCTTCCTGTCAGTCCAGCACATTTAATATGGGTGTGGAGATCTGGCAGCGCGGGAGATCTGGCAGCACCTGAGGACTCGGATATAAATAAAAATGGCGCCGTTGCGGAGGGCTGTTTTGGTCTAGATGAAATAAAGTCTTAATTCAAATAAATGCATTGTTTGACTTATTGCTGGTGATGAAGGTGAGTTGTTACAGTGGCGACGTGGTAAATTTGTGAAAATCTAAAAGGAAAAAGAAATAGGTAAATCGAAGCTGGCATGGGATGTGCCGAAGCCCGAAACAACTGATGTACATATGTATATGTAAAAAAGCATACATAAGTGTACGTCGGCGGGCTGAATGAAAC